TCAAAGGCATTTACAGTATGTCAAAACAATCAGTGATTACTGCTCTGCAGTTTTAATTCCCTCATTTTGCAAAATAAAAAGGACTTGTTCTGTGGGTTTCAATGGCCACACAAGCATCTCTGCATGCTGAAGTAAAGCTTTCTTGTCTGTACATGTGGACCTGATAGGTATTTTTGCATAATACCTTTTCTTTGCAGTGTAAAATTCTGTTGGAACATAATGGAACAGGGTCTGCTCCAAAAGCCTCCCTGACAGCCTGGAATTCCTGTTTCTGAACAGCAGCTTATCCACAGCACAGAGATTTTGTGACAGCCATACAACATGACACCTGCTGTCCCTCCAAGTGGAAGAAGATGCAGCTGGGATGCCCTTCCGCCTTGACGGGCAGAACTGCCCCTTTCTTGACTGCTGCAATAACGTAAATCTCCACAGAAAGCTGCTTTGCACAGAGAAGCAGCGAGACAAAGCTTGCCATTTTCTCTCTGTGTCGGAGAGACATGTTTCCCATTTTGCAGGGAATGTAGAGCTCTGCGGAGCAGAACACCCAGGAGGGGGTGCAGCTTCCTCTGGTTCTGCACCAGCCCTCCCAGGGAGCTCCTCCGCCTGCCTGGAATATGCCACGTTATCCCACAGGCGGGCACGGGGATGATTTGTGCTTCTGGGAGCCACTGTTGTTCTGGGAGGGCAGCTCCATGCCCTGGAGCCACTGTTGTTCTGGGAGGGCAGCTCCGTGCCCTCCTCCTCGCAGGGCTGCGGCTCCGCAGCTCCAGTCCAACCCACCCAGCCACTGCCCCTCTCCCCAGGGTCCCTAACCTCATGGCAACTGGGAAGGAGATGCTGCAGTGTGAGTACTGCCAAACCCAGCCTGCGAGAACCAGTTGGAAATACTACCTGAGAAGTCAGCAATTACTCAGCGCCACTGAGAGCAAAATATTCGGGCTGCATATACATCCCAGCCTGTAAACTGCAATGTAAGGAGGCAGATTTCTTGCTTGCACGCTGGTAGTCCCTAGCAACACCATCTGATAAAGCCCTGCTCGGGTTTGAGAGGTCCAGGCTGAATTTTCTGTTCTGTGTTCCTGACCCCAGAAGCCTGGCATTTGTTTACCGAAAAAAAAGCACAGTTACGTCTTTAAAGCTCTGCTGCTTGGTTGGCAAACAAATGCTGGGAAGTGCGGCTCTGCTGAGGTTGTACAAAAAGAAAGCAATTGTTATTCATTAAGCAGATGACAGCAATGGGAGCAAAGGGGATAAAACTCGAAATCTGAAACCACCTGCTTTAATTTTAGCCATAATTGAAGCGGCTGCCCATGATGTTGCTGATGCACGTATCAGATTTGCACGCCATGCGCGGCTCTCGCTGGTTCCTGTGGCAGCAGCCTGCAGCCCCCTGTCTGCTCTGGTTCAGGAGGGGATGGAGCTCCTGGTTGATTGCAGGTTATAACGGGCACTTTAGGATCTGTTTGCTTCCTTCCAGGAGCAAAATGCAATCTCGGTCTGGCTCCCTGATAGACAGATGCTTTAGTCATTAGTGAGGTTTCTGTGACTACAACACTGTGTCCTAGCATGGGTGCACTTATCTCTTTTGTTCTGATTCGAAGCAGTGATGCTTTTCTCGCTCTTGTGCTCACGCGCTCGCTCGCTCTCTCCCCCTCTCTCTCCCTCTGTCTTTGATCTTGCTGATATGGGGGAAAATATCAGATCCAAATCTTCAGCGTATTTAACCAAAACATCTTGTAGGATGGGAATAAATTGTGACTGAGTGCAGCAGCTGGGGGCTGCAGTATGGTTGCTTGTACTGCTTGCTTTCTGTTACTACACAACAGCAGCAATCCTCAAGGAGTGCTGGGGCTGTTCTGCAGCTAAATAAGCACTTAAGTGCTCGGCATTCACAGAGGGCTACAGTGGTTTTGCTGGGAATGGGTGGACTGTGCAAAGCTCTCCTCTTGTGTCTGTAATGCAGGATTCATGTGAAACAGGTAAAAATGGAACAGATCTTTCCTAATGGCAGAGGGTCTCATCCTTCACTAAATTCCCTGGAGTTTTTGCCATGGAGTTAAATGGCTGTAAGAAAGCAGTGTCTCTTCATATTCAACCTCATTACAGTACTAGCGGCATAAGCCTGAGAGCTGGGGAGCTCACAGCAAAATCAGTGAAGGCAGGAAAAGTCTTGACCTCAGCTGCACAGTGAAATGTTGGAGTGGGAGCATTAACGGTATCCTTGAGCTGTTTAGTGCAGATTTATACTGCATGTGTTTGTATGTCTATGCCAACTTTCAAAAGCTATGAAAAGCTTTTTTATGGTTTCCTGTGATGATACATAGTCAGGGGGGATACTGGGATGAATAAAGAAATATGCCACGAAATGGGGAGCAGGTGAGCTGCGTGACAGATGTGTGTGCTGTCTTTTGTTGATTTGGTGCCGCTCCTTAGCTAAAGGTATAAAGTGCTGGGAATAGGACAGGAAGCTTAACGCCACTTGGGATGGTGCTTAGGAGAAGATCCTCACTGCTTTGGAGCATAGCACGTCGTGTGATGTAAGATCCCCATTCCCTTCTGATCAGCCTTCCCTACTAAGCATGTCTTCATTCCTCCGCTTTACTGATCATTTACAGCTGTTTGCTTTATTTCATGAGAAATTCTTAAAGGGCTGAGGCAGTAACTGGACTGCTCTGTTCTGTGATACAGCCCAGAGCTGGCGCCGCGTTTCAAGCAGCCAAGTGAGATTCTCAGTCGAGTCCCAGCAGACATTGTTCATCTCTGTCGCGGGAGTCCGCATTTTTCTGGGGTCTAGTATCTTTCTGGACATCTTCCTTGTCGTAACAAAGAGGAAGATGACTATGGCATCCAGACAGTCGAGGTCTATTACCTCCATAAACTGCCAGCGCAGCCTTTTTTGGACTGACACATAGATACTTCCATCTTTAAGGAGGCATAAAATGTGTTGCAGAGTGGGACGTACTATCTCCCTCACTTGCTATCAGTTTGTAAAGTGAGTTGTGGTGTTTTTTCCCCTGCAGTCTTTTTATCACTGATATAGTCTAATACCTGTATTTAAATCACGATTTAGTGAGCAAATAACCACATTGTGGGCGCTTACTTAAAAACAAATAGTTATTGTCAGAAAAAAATGAGTTCTAAAAAAATGTCTTTGGCAGTCTTTCCTTTGTATATTCCTGCTGATGAAGAGGACACCAAGCAGCCTTTCAGATCATTTCAGTTCCTTTTTACACACAGCTGAGCTAAAAGTGAATGCATACTTCCATCTTCCGCCAGTGTGTATCTTCCTTCTGTGTGCATTTAAATAATAGATTATCCTTTTATTTATCAATTCATTAGCTTTGTTAAGTAAAAGAAGTTGGGTAATTGCTATGCCCACGGGGCATATGACCATCACAGATGGTCTTCTGAAGACCGTGCTGGGCAGTGAGTGCACGGTGACAAATGGCCCAACGTGTCAGAGCCCCACCATCCACGCCCCACAGAAAAGAGACAGGGAATGGTTTGGAATTGCTCTTATGTACCCTGATTTTGGCATAGCTTCAGAGAATGCTCCACTTAGACCTAAAAGATAGGCATTTTGCAGAAAGAAGTCTTGTGATGTTACAGCTCTACATGTGGCTCTGGTTTCTCTGTCCCCAATGGGTGTCCTTGCAGAAAGACCAAAAGGACTTGAATTCTTATAAAAGCTGGTACTCCTTTGAGAGCTACGTAGCCAGCAGATGCTTTACAGTGAAAGAGAACATCCTTTGAAAACAATCTGGTGTTTATTAATCAACAAGAATTCAGTGTTTGGGGTCCTTCGGCAGGAAAAGAGAAGGAAAGCACATGTGGGCCCTGGCCTCCTGAGTGAAAACATGCAGGTTCCATCCCCATGCTCTGCTGAGGAGCAGATTTCATATAGCATTGGTATGTCAACACTTTGCTCTCAGTTCCAGTGACATTTGGCAGGATTCAATATGCTTGTGTTGAGATTGGGTTGCCTGAGACCCAGGCAGCAAGCCATTCACCTGCTCTCTGGTCTTGCCCTGTAGATACCTAGGCTCATTAGGCTCCCTCTTAGCCCAAGAGTTCTCTGGACCCTTAATTTCAGACATCCACATATGCTTAGAAGTGCCATTTCTGGGAAGGCAAGCACTTAGATCTGATTTAAAGCTGTGTTTCTGGTTTATGTGGGTAGGTACCTGGACTCTTATTTCTGTTGCAGAGAACTGAAAAGTTAGATCTGGACAAGACTAAGTCATGGGCCTAACCTCCTGCCCTGTGACCAGTGCCCTCACTCAGACGTCAGAAGATGGGGTCTAGGCACTGCTCAGCCTGAGGCGTTTGTCCCAATCCCAACTGTATCTCAGGAGAGCACTGTCACCATCCCTCCCTTCGCTGCTCTGCAGCTCTGTCTTGAGGAACACGAGGCCAGGGATAAAATGTGAAAGAAGAGGTGGAGTACAGAAGGGAGCAGTGACCAAAACCAGTTATTAGGGTGCTGCAGGGGAAGGAAAGTCCCAGTTCCTCCTCCCTGGTGTGTGTTATGCATTTTGCACTGGGTACCACCATCACCACCAGGAAGGACCAATGGGAGATTGTCCAGTTTTCCGGCTGCAAAGTCTCAGAGATACCATCTGTTCCCCATTTGTTGCCGAAGTTATTTAGGTGGCTGTGTGAGACAGACAGGATTACCCTCTGGGCTTCAGTGCCTTTGATGAGGCGGCATCTGAAGCTAACACTTAAATTAAGCAGACTTCGTGTATTATAATGCCCATGAAATCATTAAAACTTTTTGTCTGTTCCTTGGTCATCTGTTGTCTCCCTGTAGTGTCATATGCTGACTTTGTATGACCTGCCTGAGAAATCAGCAGCCGTCATCCTTTCCCCACCCAGCACCCAGTGGGATCTCCCAGGGCTGTGGGATACCTGCACTGGTGCTTCCATGGATTGGTAGGGATTCTTGGATGAGGGACACCACATTTGGGAATAATCCTTTTTCCATTTCTTTCTCACAGATTGATGAACTCCCTGAAGGAGCTGTGAAGCCTCCAGCAAATAAATATCCCATCTTCTTTTTTGGGACTCATGAAACGTAAGTGAATTAACATGATCTTTTCCTTTGAAAATATCTTCTGCTGCTGCAGCTAATGTCATCTCCACTGATTGTATTGGAACAAGTCTTGACTGAAGCCATTGGGAGCCTAGAATTAGGTCCTATGAACCCAACTCATTTGTATTAACACATGGAAACAAAACCTAAAAGTGGGTAGGAACGCCACTGGGTGGATGGTATGCCATGGTCTAAGCATAAATAATAACCAGTACCTGTGTTTCCCCTAAAGAAAAGCATTGGCATAAATTTGTTAAAGGGTCATCTGCACTCAGATGCAGGGGCAAAAATTTTTTACTTGGATATACATGATGGCAGAGGTCAGGCTGCTCTATTCAGACACGTTTGGGTTCATGTCCTGTGTGAGAACTCGCTTGGTAGTTTGTAAAATGAAAGGAAGCAGACCCCAGAGTCTCACACAGTCCTCGCATAGCTTTAAAGTATGTGCATTCCTGTGAGATTTGTGCTGAGGATATTGCAGGATGGAGCTCTCAGAAGGGATGGAAGAGCTGAGGTGGCCAAACTAATAGGGAAACAAAGGAATCAGAGCAGACAGGGAAAGTTAGGTCTCGTAGTAATAGCTACTATTTTAAACTATGTCTGAGGTAGTTTAAAAAAACACAGTTTCCATTTTGCATGAAATGTTTACATTTAAAAACTTTTCCTTCCCCACTTGCAGGGAACATGTTTTCTAGAATTCCTTAAAGAATGGAAAAATGGAAAAATGAAATTCTGATGACATTTGAAATTCAATTTTAGAGGTTTGAAGCTTTATTAAAAATATATTGTTTATTTTAAAATTTTAACATTATTCCAGAACATAATAAGCCCCATAGCTCATATGTCACATTTTATTTTAAAAATACTTAAAGGCAGTTTCTGCTTACTAAAGATCAAAATAGACCCTCTTAGTTACAATATTGCTGTAATGAAACAACCTGATATTTTGATATATTGTGATCTACCACTACTGTCACAAAACAATCTAAAAAGAATAAAGTTCAAATAAACTTATGATACTTTAAAATCAGAACCCAAAATCTAATTTCTTTTTTTAATGGAAACATTTACCTTGAGAAACATTTTGAGAAAAAGAACTCTGACCACTTTTATTCTAAAATGAATGAATCTCAAACTGCTAATTTATTTTGTTTTGGAGATTTCGGTAGCCCATGATCTGACTGTAACATCTGAAACAGGAAAACAGTTTGTAGTTACTACCTTAATCTTTTAAAAAGCATAACTGTTAAAATGAACTGTAGATTGCAGCCCCTTAGTTTCATAGGAGAGCACTGGAAACTGTTATACTATCCCAGTGGCAATGAACATATTTCAAACAAAGACATAGGCAATTTTTCAGTGTTTACATAAAAGGCTGTAGAAACATTTCCATACATTACTATTGAGTTAAGTTAAAGTAGCTCATGGTAAGTTTCATGCAGTTTACCTTTGCTATTTGTGTTAGAACTGTATGTATCTTTCGCAACTAGGAGACATCTCTTAGTATTAGCAAAAGCATAGATAAAATACTTTATTCACATCCCTTACTCTATTGTAGCCTTTAATATTAACAAGACATCTGTTAGTTTGGAAATTGCTGTTTGGCTTTCAGGTAGAAATGCATTCTTGGCTTTGTAATTATATAATTGAGATATTTCTCAATGAGACAACTGCACGTGGATGCCATTCTGTCTCCTGTGTAGTTGAAAGGAAGCTCTTCCCCCAGAGACTTGTCATCTGATGCCTTTAGCCACCAGTTGGCTCTGTACTGGCAAACTTCTTGGCCAGTGGGGTGATTTAAGTGAATGAAACTTTGCACATTCACAAATGCTGGGAAGAATAAGGGCATAAATCAGGCATTAATCTGAAATAATGTTTACAGCAAGGAAGAAATATGTTTCTGTGATTAAGGTATTAGACTGAGGCTGAAGAGAGTTGAGTTTTCCTTTGTACTCTACTCTCAGTTTGAGTTTGACCTTGGGCAAATCTCTGTGTCTCAGAAGCCTATATGCAAAAAAGGGCAACTTCCCAACCTTGTGGTGATGTTACGGGAATAAACGTGTTGTAAATGGTGGAGCTCCAAGATCCCATGGTAATGGATACCACAGAGTTAACATTAATTGCAAAGGAAAGTAGGACAGTGATTATAGTGAAGGACACTGTGACTTGCTCAGCTCCAGTCATTGGTGACACAGAATCTTCCATGTGGGAAAGAAGTATTATTTTGCCTTCACTGTTTTTAATTTAACTTATGAGTGGCCATCCCAGTACCATGATACAGAGCACAGTAAACATACTGTAAACATATAGCTGCCCAATGAAAAGGAAATCATACATTCTTCAGTTTTATATTAGGAGTTAGAATTTTACTGTAAAGTATGCAGAAAAAGCAGGATAATTCGCCAGTCTTCTTTTTTTATTATTGTGCTGCCTGTGCCTGAAATTAGTTGGCCTAGTGCATAGCTGACTTAGGCTGCAGGAGAGCACAAAATCCCTCCTTTTCTGTGCTAAAAACCAATTTGGCCACAAGCACCCTGTGTGTCTCATTGTTTCCTTGTATTACTCATCTGCCTATATTCACCCATTGTTTCTTTTCTTATATGAAATTATAAGATTTTTGGGAAAGAGAACATTGTTATTGTGTTTGCACAGAATCTAGCACGTGGGGGGCTTATTGCAAGAAAGAAGCTCCCAGGCTTACTGGCAGTATAGATAATTATAAATGCCACTGCTTTTTCTGTCCAGTAGTATGAGGGGGAAGTTTTGGCTTGTGGGTTCTAGGCACTCCTGACATGCTTTAGCTTTTCAGAGGGTATTTTTAGGCCTTTCTGGATTTGTAACGCATAGGATTGGAAGTCTGGCCCCTTGCTATCACAGCCAATTACGTCATACAATCCCTTTCATAAACTGTTCAAGTGCCAGTTCTCAGCAGCATTTAATGTAATAAATGAGACTTGTTTTAGTTGTTTCTAGAGAGACTCAGCATGATTTTGCAACATCAAACATAAGGATGGTGAGCCAATCCATTAATTCAGACTCACAGCAGTAACTCAAAGCCAGTGTGTTAAATAAATAAACAAACAAATAAATAAAACTGAAAAAGAAATGACGGAATGAGCAGAAGAACAGGGAAAACATTTGCACTGTTAATGTTGGTTTTTTTGTGAAGAGGAGGAATTTAAGTCATTTTTTGAATGTTACCTTTGTTAAAATGCAGCGCGTTCCTGGGACCCAAAGACCTTTTCCCATATAAAGAATATAAAGATAAGTTTGGGAAGTCGAACAAGCGAAAAGGGTTTAATGAAGGCCTGTGGGAAATAGAAAACAACCCTGGAGTAAAGTTTACTGGATATCAGGTAAATGACTTTTGCTTCTATTCCTACATATCTTTTTTGTTTTCTTCTTTGAAGACTTCTTGTCAATGTAAACATTGTATGAGTGATGTGGAAGGGCCTGGTTTGGGCTTTTGTAATTGTGTAACGTAAAGACAACTGTGGTCCTGCACTCTGACAAATTGAACTTTAATCACACTGCAGAGCCCTTCGCTTTCTGTGACAGTCTGGGGTGGTGGAGCGGAAAATTCTGCAGCAGGTTTAGTTGAATTAAAAATGGAAGGTTTTATTTACTCCAGTATAAACATGAATAATTTCTGACTTCTTCATTCTGTTGTTTATTTTTATATCAGGTTCAGTGTGTTTTACACAGACCTTAAGGTCACTGCACTTTTGATTTTTACATTGGTAATGTATAACACGTCGGACACCACTGCCAAAGTTGTGAGGGGTGAGAAGCTGGACGTTTAAGCTGCTGCTGTACAACAGCTCTCCCTGTTGGATGTCCAGAGCAAGAAGTCAGTGAAGCTGGAGGGGGAAAAGAGTAGTTGGTGGGCTGTATAAAACCAAGGAACTTTTCTCGTTAAAAAAATGTGGTCCTTTGAAGGCAGAAATCACCTCCAAAAGTAGGCGAACACCTATTACATTATTAGCACAAAACCTTACAAACCAGAGATACGGACCACCTGCAGACAAGCTGCTGCCCCTCTCAGTTCCTGTTTCATATTTTCAGCCCTACAGATGTTTTGCATACACTCGGGGATTTAAAAAATCTAGTGAATAATCTGTGGGAGATGGATTGTCAAAGCGCTCTCAGCCTTCTGGTCAGTGTTTGCTTTTTCTGAACATAGAGATCTTGCCCTTTGTGGGGGTTGTAACAGCCATCGTCTCTCCTGAATAACTCTCTCCTATTGCAGCCAAAGTTTAAAAGTTTCCGTAGTTTGCCCGAAGTAGAAAATGCCAGATCTCTTCACGAAGCAACCCCTAGTTCTCCAGCAAACGCATTTTTGCTATCAAATCTTCCATTTCTGTGTAAGCCCTTCAGAACGTGCTATCCCAGAATCTGCATCTGATAACTGTTTCCAAGTGGTGACTGGAAAATTGCTTCTGCAGCCCTTTTTCTTGATAATTGCAAGAATAACCTGAGCTCTTCCTGACTGTAACGATTGAAGTGTAAGCTGTCTGTTACCAGTATTTCTGTCTTCAACACACAACAAAAATCGAGTAATAGATTTTAGTGATATTTTTGTTGCTTACGTTATTATTGTTATTCTTATTGCTATTTTAAAGGCAATTCAGCAACAGAGCTCATCAGAAACTGAAGGAGAAGGAGGAAATACAGCAGATGCCAGCAGTGAGGAGGAAGGTGATCGGGTAGAAGAGGATGGAAAAGGAAAAAGAAAGAATGAAAAAGCAGGCTCAAAACGGAAAAAATCCTACACTTCAAAGGTTACCTTCTGAGTTTTTCCATTGTTACCCATGTGCATTTATAACTAGAATACTGTCCAACTCATGGCAATCTGCTCTTCCTTCTTCAGCATTTTGATTCCAGAAGCATAACGATGGTGTCCAAGCGGGCAAAGAGGCTATTACTTAAAGCGGGCTCTTGCTTTGTAGACAGCCCTGGTGAGACAGCAGTTGAAATAGTCTGCCCTATTGTAGTGGCCACCCTTTGAGAAGGAAGTTAAAGTATGGGAAAGAGTTCAGAAGGGCTGAAAAGAAAATCCATGCAAAGATGGATTGATAGGTTTGATCATCTTAGATAGGTATTTCCCCATAAAGAGTGAAAAAAAAAAAAAAAAGCATTAGAAGTGTGCCTCCTGGGAAACATGAGTTCAGGTTTGGTTCCTGTCCGTGAGAGTTCAAGCTTCCCTCTCCTATCTCCAGGATGAGTACCCCAGATGCCATGCTCAAAGATATGGTAGTGTCAGCTGTGCTCAGCTTCTCCTGTTTTAGCTGAGTGTAAAATACTTCAGTGCAGGATACAGAATGGGAGGGAGGAAGAACTGATTCATTAAGCGGGGAGTAGGGCACTCCATTGGTAGATAAAAGACCTGCACTGTAGTACCTACCTGGCCTGTTGATATCTGAGTAACAGTGTGTGTGAGGAGGCTAAGAGCAATGTGTCTCAGACTGTCTCATAATGGCTGGTGAAGATAATCACCCATGTAGTGACAACTTTGGGTTCAGATACGTTACTCACTTGTCACCTGGCTGAAAGGGAGCAACATTATAGTCACTTCCTCTATGTGTGCCTCCAGGTCTGTACTTTGCTTAAAAAATTGTGGGAAGTGTGGTAGTCCTGTTCATTCACATTCATGTTATTCTTTTCTGAAAGTGAAGACCGAATGAAATTAAAAGATGCAAGCAAACAATGTGATCCAGGCTCAATTTGGGGGAGAGCAGGAGTTTTTGTGGTTCATCCACTGAACAAAACGTATTAAGTAATTTCACCCCCATTGTGTGTTTTACATTAGAAATTCAGGTCTGGTCTACTATCTTCTTTCCAGAAGACTCTGGGCAAACAGAGGATTAGGAAAATGGTGGCTTAATGCCACAATTTATCCTTTTGTACTGTAGAATTGCATAACATAAAGGGAGCAGAAAAGATGTATTGGTTCCACATGGCTTTAATGTTAATATATTAAAGCTGACAGCACTAAAAAAAAGTATGGAAAGCAGCTCTGCTAATGTTATTCTCATTTTACATCTCTGTGTTTAATCAAAACTTTTGTCAAGCTGGCACCATCTGTTTCATTAACTAGCAAAACCTACAGGTGACCCAACACTAATACCCATCTCCTATTACTGTGCCTGTCTTACAGTCAGTTGTGCTGCCAACCTGTCTTCCACACAGAATTTCTCCTTTTGCTTCCCCGATGGTGGTAACTCCAACTGCTTCACCTGAAAAACACTTTTCACCCCACATCTCCTCCCCAGTATTCACCTTGAACAGGGAACCACATGATCAGACAGCCTTTCCATATACATTTCAAAAGTGTCTTTCTGTGACTGAAGCTCAGTTTTTACTTTTTAATTTTGTTGTTGATCATTTTAGAAATCCTCCAAGCAGTCACGGAAATCTCCTGGAGATGAAGATGATAAGGACTGCAAAGAGGAAGAAAATAAGAGCAGCTCTGATGCTGGGGACGCAGGCAATGACACAAGAAACACTTCTTCAGATTTGCAGAAAACCAGTGAAGGGGTAATGTTCGTTAATATAATTCACTTCTCATGCAGTTTCCCACTGGGGGGCTTTGGAGGGACAGGGGAAAGGTGTTGCATTGCAGTGACCTGTGTGTACCATGGGTGACCTTTGTACATTGCATTTCAGTGCTCAGAATGTGTCTAGAACAGAAACATGGGACTAGTTCCTGCAGTGGTACACATTTTGTTCTAGAGAAACAGCTGAATGAGAAAAGATACTGTAAGCATTATTTTTATTTCAACACTTGCATGAATGTCAGCTGAGAGGAGCTACTGAAAACCATGAGCTGGAATGATGCAAAACTGATGTGAGAGCAGAATCACACTGTTTGTGTAATGCATTTTGGCTCACTAAACAGTGGGAGCCTGCTTATCCTTTCACAGTTGTTTAAAATTTGTGCAGTCCCGCTGACTTCTGTGGAGTTCATGAGGGTTCACAAGCACTTTACGGCCTCTGCGTGGTGCAGCGTTTAGGGCAGGTCCTGCTTGGGATATGACCTTCCAAGGAGGGGATACACAGTCTGCTCCAGAGCAGGTTCATGTGATCTCCTTGTATGTTTGTGTCAGTTGTGTGTTCGTATCAATATTGTTTTGTTGTGACCACAACAGCACAGAGGAAGGCTGCAGAGCAGGACAGTTGGCATGGGAGTTGGTTAATCGTCAGCCACCTTTGACAAGCACTACTATTTCTGTGCCTTTGGAGCAGCACAAGCCTCCCTCCTCCGGCACTTCCAGCTCCAGAACCAGTCCTTGTGCAGTGCCTGTGCCAAGGCTCTGCCTCGTGGCCAGCAGCGGGGCTGGGCTGTCACAGGAGCTGCTGAGTGACACGAATCCCCAGGTGTGAGAGGGACCCAGCCAGCACGGGCTCTCGTCTGACATGGCCGAGGTGCATGCTCAGCCCTTTCTCACAAAACACAACCTCTGGGGAGCTGCTGTTGTCTCCTGCTGAAAGAGTCCTCCCAGAGCTTCCTTTCCCCTTGTCTCTCTGTGGCACAGTGTGTGTGTTTTGTGGCTCTTTGCCCTATAAAGACTGATATATGGCTCAGGAGGGTAACGTGCCCTGGGCCTCTCCCATTCACTCTGAACAAGGTGTTGGCTTGAGCCAGAGATGGATGGAAGGAGCCACTGAGCCTGACTGTGCCTTCCCAGCACCTCACCCACAGAACTGGAGAGCCTGGGGCTGATGAGTGTGGCGAAGGTGCAGTGCATGTGTTACCCACATTCTGGCTAGTGAACCCCATGATGCTTTCGTGCCTTCAAATAGGTATTGGAGTGAGAAAACAGGCCATAAGGTCCATCTGAGATGGCAGGAGGTTCAGGAGGGCCTGCTTTGTTTCCTGTGTTTGTAGCAGTGACGGGATATGCCTGTGAACTTCAGGCATGCTCTCCATGTAAGGACCAAATGCTTACTGAGTTATGTCAGTCGCAGACTAAGTGGCTAAAAAGTCACATAGGACATTGGCATTGTGACCGGTGACATTCTTATGGCTCTTCTGTCTCTATGTGACATGCTGGTAACCACTGGGAGGTGAAGTCCAGCATGCCAGAACATCATGGTGCTATTCAGCATTTTCAGGATTGCAGATATTTTAGCCTCTGGGATGAAATACCATCAACAGTCTGTGTCCTTCCTGCCAGCACCAGCTCCACAGAAATACTCACTGAACATTGTCATACCCATGTGAGGAGTTGGCTCTGCCCTGACTTCTGCAGCCCCCGCGCTCGGGCTTGACCTCACACTTCAACCACCAGTCTTTAACTGGATCTTGGGTGCTTTTAACATTATAGGAAAGGTGGAATTTTAGTTGCATGTACTGAAGAGAGATGGTCTTAAGGGCAGCTTGAGATAAAAGCACTGATAAGTTTGTAGAAATTCACATCCTGATCCAAATATTTCACCTTGGGCATTTCTGCCGCAGAATCAGCATTTCACATGTAAACCCTCTGCAGGTTCCTTTTGAGGTTTTGTCAGTAGCGCAGTTCTCTTTTAGGACCAGGAGGGGACACTCTACCTCCTGGCGTCCTCAAAGCCAGACCAGGTGTCTTTTTTACAAGGTATGCCTTCAGCAGGCACAAGGCACTCAGGAAAGAGTAATCAGATTTATTTTTTCAGTTGGTGTTAAACAGCCAGTCACACAGTGTGTGCCTAGATGACCTCCTGGGCTATGGGGCCAGCTGTCCTGCAGCCATGTTCTGCTGGACATCCAGACTGGGACTCTGCTGCAGGGTGTTGAGCTCCTCCAGCCCACGCACCTGGACTTTTCTTCTATGGAAAGAAAGATCAAAAAGATCAACACCTGCCTGCAGAGTTAGGATATGGTCCTCTTGTTCACGCATGTGAATTCAGAAGGATGTCTAGGTCTGCTAAAACACCATCATAGATGAGATTATGGTCTCTTTAGAATCCTTTAGCTTGTGAGAAGAGCCTTGGACCAAGAACACGCAATCTGAGGAAGGTGGGCTTCCTCCTCCCCAGGGTGCAGCACAGTAGCTGCATCTCCACCACTTCATCTTCCTGTGAGGCCAGCCCGGCTCAGGACAGTTCTCTGGGTTGTCTGGCCATGAGATGGCGCCAAGAGCCTACCAAAAAGAACACTGGGGGCAAACCTGAGCCCTCCCCGGGAGGTTGGGGGCTGCATGAGACTCACGCCAGAAGAGTTTCTTTCAAAATAACTTGTGGAAAGGTACCAAGAAGGCAAAGAGACTAGAAAAACGAGTTCAGAGCCCTAATCTCAAGGATAAGCATGTTTCGTTCCCCTGGTTTTTGCACTGTGACCAGCTGCTTACAAGGTGCCTGGTCGTGGAGGCCAGGAAGGGCTGTGGAAGGCAGGTGGGCAGAAGACAGCAAGCAAAGCCACCCTACTTGTAGTGCTCCCCTCTGACTGTGTCCTGCAGAGCTTTGGCTCTTGTGCTCTGCACCTCCTGGGTCTCTGACCACATAAAAGTTGTCTGAAGGACATAAGCAACGTTTCTCTTACTACTACTGCTGATAATGAGGTAGTGATTATGTTTTATAATGCCTGGACTGCAGGCTGAAGACACATCTCCCCTCATGATCAGAGGGAACCTTGCCTTTTAATCACACTCTTACCCTCAGCATTATGGGGATCTTCTTGAAGGGTTAATGGCTGAAATCAATTGATTGCGGGAGCATCTTCACCTATCTTGTTTAATGAAATTTCTAACCTCCAGGTGGTAGAGGAAAGCTTGAAAATGTGAAGTGATGGCTTCCTAAAGACTCAAAACCCAGAGCAAATAAAAGTACTTCCAAAGCTATGATATTTTTTCAGACAATTTCATACTGTTCAAGGGCTCAACTTGTGATTTTTTTTTTTATCCCTGGGGTTGAGAAAGCTGCTTTCCTTTCTTATCTCCATCCCTTAGTTTCTCAACTATTCTTGAGGCACTCTCAACAGAAGACACATCAGCTTTCTCAGACTCAGCCACAGTTTGCAATTGTGTCCTCCCACTACCTGTTTCTTAGACTCTTTCCCTCACTGTTGCCCTGTGGCTGATTCCTTCCCCAGCAAGATGCAAAGCCTGAACCTCAGGGTTTTATTATCTAATTTTAATTAACTACTAATTTATTAGCTAAGACAGCCCATCCCAGAGTTTGCTCAAGTGAAGAGTCACAGAACCCCTCCATGACAATCTCTGCTATTCAATACTAAAATGTTTTGGCTTTCTCAAAATACCACATAAACAGAGTATTCCAGGGGAAATGTATTCATGGCTCTGTGTTGTTTACTTTCTATGGTACAAAATTAGATCATAAATCAGCGAATTCATGGCAGCAGATTTACATTCCACATTTAAATCTCCAGTGACTTATGTGTTTGATTCTTGGCTGGCATAACTCTGAATCTTTATAACTGAGCACCTAAGTCGCTTTTTACTTTTACTCTCTGGATACCCACATAATGACGTTTGAAAGCTGGCCCAGTCCCTGCCCTATTAGAGGCTGTTTGAATGTTAAGGTCAGCACTCAGGGTATGTGGCAACTCTTTCTTTTGGTATTTATTATTTTAGTTACAGTCAGGACTTTGTGTTGGTAAATGAGGCATTCTCTTTGTGTACAGATGCATGTGGTTGCCTTTCAGGAGGTGAATGATTTAACTGAGTCTTTGAAAAATAATAGGTTTGTTGGAAATGAAATAGCTTTTTTTTTGCTCCTGGTACAGCCCGAACATTGGAGTGGGGTAAAGGACTGTGATCTTTTTACTCACACTGACAATCAGTTACTAACATGGGAGTCAGTGGATCTATTTGTGGAGGTGACTGCTTGCCAGCATGAATAAGGGGATCAAAATCTGGTCCAAAATTACTGCCATCTGATACTATTGCAATTGAGAGAACATATTTAAAACGGCCTGTGTCCAGGACATATTTTTTGTTGTAATGTTCTTGTGGGGTAGCAACAATTCCAGTTACTGCTGTGAAAGACAAGTGTTATGGCCAAACTGGCTGGAGAAAGGTTCATTGTGTCCTTCTGATGCGGTTTTGAGATGTTTGGTTCCTTTGCTCTTCCTTCTTTACTTCTCAAGAATAGCACTGATTGTTCTGCATAACAGGTTTGGGGTTTTATCGACATCAAGGGCATAGCATTTAGGGCTCTATTCATTGTAAAAGCATTTATGTGGGCATTTTTCCAGAAAATGAAAACAGGGTATGCATTTCTATCTGATTTTTTTTTTTTTTTGCAATTTGAGGTAAGTTAAAATCTGCCCCTCCAAAAAGATAACATTTGTAAAAATGTGTTTAACTCTTGTGTAGTAAAAATTTCTATGTGAAAATCAAATATTGGCACACTCTGTGGTGTAAAGAGGTGTGCTGTCTGCTGCCTCCCCGTAGCTCAGGATAACAGCACTGCTAAGTAAGGCAATGGGACATAACTCAGGAGAAACATACACGTCTGGATGTAAACTGAGATTAAAGTAGCCTGTATAGATGAAATACACTCCTTGCATCTCTTTGCACATTGAAACCTTTTAACCATTTTGACCTCAAACCAATATGGAATAGCAATTATCATACAGAGCAAGTAAATAATTCTCCTTCTGCCCATCCAGCAAGGGCTTTTAAATTACAGGATGGCTGAGTCGGTTGCCAGACACCATTGAGGAAGGAATTTTCAGTGCCAGAAAAAACAAAGCAATTTGTGGGTTTAGTTTTATTCCCCGCTCTCCGTGTTCTCTGTCCTTCAATTTTATTGATGGCTGAAATTTTTTTCCCTCGAATCAGTCAGATTCTGTGTTGTTCCTTTTGTGTGCAGTAGTGTTGGTCAGGGCGGCACACGTACTGCGTCTTACAGCAAAGCTGAGAGATTTGTTCAAACAAAGATGAAGGGAGGTGATCTGTTTCTGAGGAGCCGTGAAACCATGGAGACGATGGAAACTGCTCAGCTCTGCCGCATCCTGGTTCGGCTGCAGGAGCCTGGCAGTGCGAGAGCTGCCTGGGGAGGGGAGGGAGCCCGGCTCCCTGGGCACCAGGGGCTGCCTGCCTCTGGGGAGAAGAAACCTGCCGAATTCTGCGGCACCTGGAGGGCACCGTGTGTGTCATGCTGGCTGGTAGCACTGAAATTCAAAATCCTTGAGGATGATTTGCATACCTGGCTCTTTGTTGTCACCTCCTGTGCCACGCTGTGGCCCAACGGACTTGTCTGTGAGACAGTGAGGAGTGGGAGTATTAACGTTCCCAGCAGCCCACAGGAAAACACCCAGTCTCCTGGCCTTAGTCCAGAGGGATAATTGTTGTCCATAAGTGCAAAGGTTTCATGCTCCAAAAGGACAGCTTTCTCTGCTGGATCCAAGAGTGGTACCGCAGCGACCGACTGTTCCACCACCCGCCCTGCCTGTCAGTGCAGGGTACCAGCTGTCATTAAGAACTTTAGCAGAAGACATGGTCCAATTGACTAATCATTTGTAGTTGTTTCATTGGGTGTCTGCACTACCCTTTGAAGGGAAAGAAACAGCAGCAAACACCTCCAAGCCACATCTCCAAAGCATCTCTAAATACAATCTCATTGACTCCTGAAGAGGAGGAAGGTCCATGGAAGTGCATTGCTCTGGATGAGCAGTTCATGGTTACACCTTCTGGGGGGAGGCAGGGCCCCAGCAGTTCCTGTAAGGCATCGTGACAGGCAGGAGCCCCCTTATCATGTGTCGTTAGTCAGGACATACCAGGACCTCCCACACAGAAAGTGCAGCTTTCCATTACTGATGGTTTGCAAACCCCTTGCTGTAGGAGAGAAGAACCACCCTGAGCAAACACAGCACAGCAACCAGGCTGGGGTCCCAGGCTGCTCAGTGGGCACTTGTCTTACCCTCTTGGATAGGGAAGCATAGTCCAGTACAGCCAAGGCATCACACACAGCGTGAATGATGGGCCAGAGGGGGAGAGAGCTGGGGCAGCAAACTGCTGGTGCGGGGATGTTAAAATGCCTTCTTTTCATCTTCTCCTCCAGATCCTGTGTAAAATGAACATTCTGTCATCCCAGTGGATTTAACTTGTAACACACACACGACTTACTCCTTGATGTTGATTTTTTTTCATAAATGATCTCACCAAATACAGTACTAATTCCTTTGTAGTGCTTGTGTGTTGTATTTCTTCCCGTCCATCAGGGTGTGGGCGGACAAGCATTTGTGCTCTGAATTCTCTACAAAGGGGAAGGGATGCCTCACTTAGGGTTAGGCAGTCGTGTAGCACAGCGTGTCATCACGTTGCTGGACAATAGCAGTGTGTCCCTGTGCCTGTAGATGAGTTTTGCTTTCTCTGTTTAATATGGAGAAACCCAGACTCGGAGACACTTGCCGTGATGCCACAAGGACAGTCTGATCCTGCTCCCACTAATGTCAGTGGAAGCAAGAGCTGACCTTGACTCAGCCATGAAGTGGGAGTTTCTTCCTTCTCTGTCATCACCTTACAGTGGACTCCAAACCAGACTGCTCCCTTTTCAGAAGCAACATTCATTTGCGTTAGCCATGAACTGTTTATCTTTCCTCATCCTTGCTGAGTGTTGGTGTGTCTGCACGGAAGGGTGCAGGGATACAGCAGTGCCACGGCTCTCGCAGGAAGCCTATGGCTGATTTAGGGTCGGGGAAAAATGCAAAGTTTGGTTGTGTGTGAAGTACCCGACAAGATTCATAATTGGGGAAAAGGAAAAACAACCCACATACATGACTGAAGCTGCCTATTTGAATAAAGCCCTAAATGTTTACTTTTGAACCGTGTTCTTTAGTATTTTGTAGTGGTATGCTTATTCGATGTAAGCAGTTTTCTCTAGAAAAAAAATTCTGTTTGAAGAGATGAGGTGGTTACTTGTACCTGTGACTTTGAAGTGCGGGAATAAGACATTAATTATGTCAAGTATAATGCAACATGCTTTTTCTTACATTAAATGTGATTTTTTTTCTCTCTTTCTCTCTCTTTCAGACTTAACCAACATAATGACTGCTGAATATTAAGGGAAAACACAAGAAGGTTACATGTTTGGTTGTCTAATATTCTTGGATTTGATATGAGTCACCACATCTGTTCATTAGTATCATCAACAGCATCCCAGTTTGTATGCACATTATTCACATTCCTATCTCTTGTGTTTGCAGAAATGACATTTTACCCTTTTTTCTAAGGGTTACTTTTTGATTTTCATATTATTTGGTTGCATGAAGTTGCCCTTTACCAGTGGCTGAGGTTTATGAAGATATCGCATACTTGAACATGTTTTAGATTCCTTTTCTGGACAGAAAAGGTGTAACTCCAAATTATATCATCCTAAATCAGCATTTTTTTAAAAACAAGTAAATCTTAGAAATTAGTCCCCTCCATACAATACTACAATATCTTCCACATACAAACATAATTTTAAATTTCCCTATATCCATACTTTCTTGATTTTTAATCAGTTTACAACATAAAAGAAAAATTCTTCAGTTGAGATCACCGCCAAGTTCAATAATGTAATAAAATACCTTTCCTTATTAGAAGTACCTAGCTAGTTATACTCTTAATACTTCTCAAAATCATGATGTAATGTACACTATCTGACTTAGTTCCTATATGTGGAGTTAGTGAAAGTCTTTTTGTGTTTCTTTAGATTAATACAAGGATTTTTTCCAATGCCAACACAATTTGAAATCATTCATTTGGATGCTTTCCATTTTTAAGCTTACTGTGATATAGAACCCTATGGGAAACCAAAAGAAAACATCAATTTTAAATAATGAAAGGCTTAAAAAAGGATGCTGTCATTCTGGCTTTTTTTTCCTTTTGGAAATAGAACTAGACTAGTAAGTAAGCATTCCAAATCCATTATTCTGTGTACATTATTGTTGCTATTGTGATAATAGAGATTTTTATTTATTTTTATGCCAGCTTTTATTGTGAAAACATATTTAGTCTGGTTTTATCAATCCTTGTTATGCTTGTCCTTGGAACATCTTTTGCGTATTCAAGGTTTGTAGTTGACGAGTTTACTGTAAAAAACTAAAAAAAAAACCACAACAAAAAAACAAAAAAGAAAACAAAAAAGAAAACAAAAAAATGTATTGTTTTTACAGAATAAATTTATTGGAATGTGTATTGGGAGTAAGGTTTGAGGTTGTAAGCAACTAAGTTAGCGTCATATTTGGCTTCATACGTGTAATAATGTGAGGTATTAATGTAAGTCAAGTATTAAAGCAAAACATTCTGTTAACATGAGTTGACCATAATAGATACAAGTGCAGGTGAGATCTTTATTTTTTCTGTACTTTGCCTTTTCTGGATAACAGGAGGTTATTAAATTCACCTTGAATGTATTCAAAGTTTCTTTAAAAACATTAGCAGTAACACGGGAGGCTCAAACACCTGTGTGTGAGCCAGCATGTCCTACCACAGCCCAACAGCTCCGGGTCTGGTTTCCTGGGAGGACGCACGGGACGGAGCGGTCCCCAGTTCTAGCGTACGTGGAGGGAGCCCACTCCGGGGAGAGCGGGTGCTGGCAGAAATCATTGCTGAGCTCCTTTTTGCCAGGAGGCATTGACCGAGATGCGCTGGGGTTGCTTTGGGGCTGCCCCTTTGGCTGGAGGTGTAAAACCCTGGGTCCTCTCTGGTGCACCCCCAGAGCGTGACAGCATCCAGGTCCTGTGCTCCCAGAGTCCCCGTCTGCGGGGCGCCACGTGCATGCGCATGAGCTGATGCTTTCTTGTCACCCATCAGGTTTAAAAAGAAAATTAAAATTCTCTACATCGAAACAGCCAAAAGTCAACATCCCCAAATAAAAAGTGTTTCCAGTTAAAACACGACAGCTAATTTCATTTGTGAGAAAGGCACTAAATGTACTGCTTGTAGTATAAATACACATAGAAGTCATAGAAAGAGTTGTAATCGCAAACGGAAACATAAAACTACACAGACCACGGTCGTTGTATTTGCTGCTACCTGTTTATGACCCCACAGCGTTAGCAAAAGCAGCTGCAGAGAAAAATATGGCCAGACCCCCTCCTGTCGGAGAAGGCGGCTGCGGCGTAAGGCCGGGCTGAGGGAGGGGACAAGCCCCCCGGGTCAGACGTGCCAGTGAGCACAGGCTGAACCTCAGGCCATGAGCAGTCCTTGCAGAAGGGAATCCTTCAAAGAATTAACGAAACTATATCATTTGCTTATCATATCTGGAGTCTTACCGTTAAGAGTTGATTGCTTCTTTAAAAATTTCTTGGGCTTTTTAACAAGGCTGACCCACAAGACATACTTTTTGACAAATAAAACATGTGCATGTGACAGAGTTATGTATGTTAATTTTTCACACTTCAAAATATTGACCTTCACGTTCCGCAGTAGCTCTGGACAGGGATTGCTAGCACTGACGCTCCTCAGTGTGCGGAGGCTAAACACTGACATCATTATTATTATTTAACTTCATGCAGTATTTCTAAAACCGTCAAAGCAGCTTACTTAAAAATAACTATGTGAACCAGCAACTCCACCGCAGTGCACAGGCACGATGTTGAGAAGTGGTACTGAAGGCAGTCGTCTTTATTTTCCCTTTTTGAGTAGGATAAACAAAACAGAATGTGCAACTTCACACAATTGGGCAATTTCACATATCTTACACACTCCATTTGGGTTCCATCTGAGCAGCTCAATCACATCCCAACCCAATTATATACATAGCCCAAAAGAGGAGCTGAAACCAGCGCTGCTATTCTGTTTTTTCTTCTTGTTTTGTTTTCATAAAAAACTCTGGCTTGTTGACACACCTGTACGCCAGCAGCTGGGGAAGAATCCCATACATTATGTTCAATATCAGAAAAAACTCTTTTGCTTCTTCAGGGACTCTGTAGATGTAAGGAGTTCGAGCATGAAGAGAAGCTCCAATATGGGAAAATTGAGCCTGTGGTGTGTATATAACGTATATATTAAAAAAAAGAGGGTAAAGCTGATGTATATTTTGGAAAGACAGTGTAATCTGCATGCAAGTGTGCATCTCCAGTGACATTTGCCAAGCCAACCCTTTTATTCCAGAATTATCCATCATACTTTCACACAGCAATATAAAAATACAGTCTAAACAAAGGTCATGAATGAACCTTGGTGTAAGAGGCATAAGAGGACCTGTCAGCACTACGGGGGGAGGTTTATTTTATGCGTGTGGGAGCACTGATCTTTACATCAGGCCCAGGGTTTCACCCTCAGCATACAGGTGATCATCCACACAGCGGGGCCCGTGGTCCTCCCCCCGGCCAGTGGCCACGATGGTGAGCATCACCGCACACCCCGCACCGCACGGCCCCGGCAAGGGGGGCAGGACCAGCACCCACCTACCCAGGAACCCCAGCAGCCAGACACTCACTCTGAATAAAGTCAGACAATAAAAGCTTGGAAGCTATGATAGTTTCCTTTTTTTTTTCCTTTTTTCTTTTTTTTTTTTTTTTAATCTTAAATGCAGTGTTCCAGATCCCGACCCCAGAACTCCCGATGGTTTCAGAAAACATCTGCAATATTTGGCTCTTGGGCTGGGGATGGCTCTGAGGTATAGGTTAAGTTTACAGTGAAGGTTATAGGCAAAGACATGCTTGCTGGGCTGAAATATATTTTTAGCATAAACAAACATTTAAAGATAGAAGCGTCAGGATAGTCGCTGTCTTTTGTCTCCATCTGTTACCTGCTATTTCAAGACACAGCTCATTCACATTAACTATTGTGTGTCCAATTTTTTTTTTATATTATTATTTAGTTAGTTTGCAGTGGAGGAGATCTGAGAAGATAAACATCAGTTGCATCTTAAGCAGAGCAGGAGAAAGGGGCAGCAGGATTTTAGTAACACAGAGGAGTGGCCAAATCACGTCCCCCGATCTGGAGTAATGCTCAGGAGTTATTTTGGACTCATGAAGTTCTGATCACAGTTAGCAAAGTAGAAAATGGAATTCAGTGCAGGTGCTTTAATACACACCCTCTAGCAAAAGGTTAGGCTGAGACCACACATCACAATGGAAAAGGAAAACAGTTTCCAGGTGATTCTAACCACCTCCATGACTAGGGAGAGCTGATTGAGCAAACCTGAGTCAGGAAACGGGGTAATCAGAGGAAAGAAACACAAACACAGCTGGGCAGAGTGCCACCTACCACCTTTCTGTAACAGCTATGGCACAGCACACAGATGTTCAAGGGCATGCTATCAAGCAGCCTTTTTATATCAGCCTCGTCTTGCAGCCTATTTGTTCTCACCTCTCTTAGGCAGGAGCTGCCTTTGGCACCCAGATGCCCTCACTCAGAGCCCTGCTGCCTCTCCCTGGGAGCCACCCCAGGCAGCCAGAGCACCAGGGCTCAGCAGCAAACACCTCGTGCTCTGTGAGGCAGCAGGCTTCCCAGCAGATAGCCAGCCACCATCAGGCTTGAGGCAGGAGATTTGGGTCTGTCTGACGTTTACCTGGACACCAACAGCCTCCTGGTGGTATTTTGGAGCATCTTCTGAGGTGAGCAAGATGCTAAACTACCTACTTCTCTGTGGAGGATTGCAAGGCCAGCCTGTCTCCAAGAGCAGCCAGCTGTGCATCATAGTAAGTTGATAGTAAATTCTTAATAACTTGATAGTAAGCCTTGTCAGAAAGAGCTGAGGGGCTGCTTCTGGAAGACCCAGAACTCCCACAGCCTCCTAGATGCCTTTGAAGATCTAAGCCTTATGGTGTGGTCTTGCCTCTTGGAAGAGTTGTGGCACATTAGTGAGTTTTAAGCATTATAAAAAGAGAAAGTAGAAATAATTTTGTTTTCTTTGTAGCCCATGAAGATTTGTACTAGCTAGTGATGTACCGTATAATGAAGTTACTCTATATTAGGCTTGTTTTTTAATATAACACATTGCTTTTCCCTTTCATTACCAGGGAGGGTATTTAGGTCTGTTAAAGCCACTTTTTTTTTTAAATTTGATTTGCCTCTGTGGAAATTGTGTTATGTCTTTAATCTCATGTGTTTCCTTTCCATGTCTGTACTCTGCTTCTGCTTTTTTTTTTCTTGTTTTCCCCCTTGGGGCAGGGTGTACCTTTTTAAAGCAGACCTCTCAGTCACCAGTAGCCCAGTCCTGCTCTTCTTTCAAGTACCAGGCAGACTTGCACCAAACCCATAAGTTAAGTAGTAAGGCAAGAGCTGTCAATGACTGCAGACCTGTCCTGCAGTAGTCTGGCACTCACAACCATGAGTCTGTTCTGTCACCTCACCATGATCAGGTTCTCTTAAGGAAAAAGCCATTCCTTGGTGTTTTTTTTTTCTGAACCCTCTCTAAGTGGAGAATTTTGAGGATCAAACCCTAAACCTTGGCTGAGAAATCAAGCAAATGAGATGCTGCAGGTAAAATGCTAAGGTAGCTTTATCTGCTTAACATACAGCCTTCGTTAGTCTCAAAACCTCGGCCAGTCTGCTGGTCAGGCCATCAGCCACTGGGAGCTGCCTGGTCTGGATCTGGCCCTGCTCAACTTGACAACTGCAATCTGCATTTGCCTGCTACTCATTAAGCTTCTTGTCTGTATGAAATTTTGGGGGGTTCAATTGTTTTCTTACAGTATTTTTTTGCCTGTAGTCTAATAATACTTCAAATATTTCTTATCCTGCAGTCAAGAAAGCCCTCCAGCTAGGGACAGAGAAGGGCCTGGAGAAAGGTTAGGTGTCCTCCTTCTTCACTCTGTGCCTTCTCTCTACAAGTAACTAAAATCAGGCAAAGACTGTAACTTGTTTTGGAGGGGTTCAGATCAGGTGTTATGAGTCTAAGAAAAGCCATCAAACAGAGTAGGGAAAGTAATCTATAACCTGTTCCTTGGGTTTAGGTTCTCTTGTAGACAAAAGGAATGACAGAAACTAGCCACCAAAAATTGCAGGATTCAGGAAAACACTTAGAAAAGAAGTAGAGAAAACTTTCTACATCTGAGAGAACAGGGAATTGGGCCATGGAGAGGTGATGAGACAGAATGGTTTTGGATTGCAGGGCTATAGCTCTTGACCCCTTCTCACGTGGCTCACTTGCATAGGGAAATGGTAATTTAATCAAGTTCAGAGCTGATACCAACCCTTTTGTATAATCAAAGCTCCTGGTACTTTAGTTGTGTGACATTTAAGTCTAGCAAGTGTCACAACCTGGGTTTGGACTCTAAATGTTAGTAATGGAATAATTCAAGCTGAGAGCTATATGTATTTCTGAAAAACAGATAATATTTCTTTGTGCAAAAGGGTAGGCACTTTGTTTAGATGCATCAGATAGTATTTTGAGACTTGTTTTTGTGAAAAGTACATACTTCATAATGATAGAAATAATAAATCTCCACATTCCCTATCTATAGGAGCAGTGCTCGTTCCCAGGGAGCAATGCCCACTGTTTCCACCATTAGATACTTAACTTTATTTGAACCTTTCTGCATAATAGGAAGCAAAATGTGTTTCAGTAACTACATATGTTTTAATTACCAATTATTGTTTTAACTTGAGAAAACAGACAAACCTGGAAATGTTTTGTGCCTCAAAATGGCCAAAACCAAGAATAATATAGAAGAAGATAGAGAATAATATAGAACTGTCACACACATTTTTCATCCCAGGTTGTTCACAGTTCATCAAATTAATCAAATCACATTCAGTTGTGTGATGACTGAAGTTAATTTTGCAATGTGTTAAACTAAAAAAAAGAAAGAAAAAAAAAAAAACCAATGCCCCACCCCCCCCCGTTAAACTAAAAAAAAGAAAGAAAAAAAAAACCAATGCCCCACCCCCCCCAAAAAAAACCCACAACATCCCAAATATAAAGAAATGTTTTTTGAATCAGGATAAAATGTGGGGAGTGTGCAGCAACATACAGTTTGGTTAGTGCTTGTCAGCCCATGGCTTTTGCTTGTGCCTTGTACAAGCTTTAAAGAATAAAATGGGAAATTTTGAGTGTTAG